CCAGCGTTTTAGAGGCAGGAGGAAACCGGAGTACCCGGTGAAAACCTGCGAGAGCGAGAAACCGGCCGCAAGCAAGACCAAGAGGGCGCTGTCTTTTAAAGTCCCTGATAGGGGACCGCGTGGTCCGCTGTGATTGGTCTTCACTCTTCAATGTTCCACAAGCCAGCCAATCAGAGCAAGCCATCTGGACCCTCGGTTCACGTGTACGACATTCGCTTGCAGTACGTGTACACAAAACTCCCGGCGTAAAATCTTTCCGGAATCCGCATATCACTTCACGCGCTCGCGGACTGGGGAAGGGCAAATTTTGCGATTTCAGGAAAGTCGTTTTGAAAGAACAGAGACAATGAATCTTACATTTTGCATCGTCAGCGCCCTTATATCACTGTGCAGTGCTACGGTTTACTTTCAGGACCAATTTGATGGTAAGTTAATGGATTTCTTGAGAGAAAATGACTTGGTCTCTTGTCAACTGAGCTTGTCTCATCGTCTCCGTACAAATTTGCATCCCTCGAATGGTTGCCTATGTATGTGATGTCTTCTTTGACGATAAATTGTTTGGCATGTTTGCTGGTCATGCCGGTGGGATGCATGTTTGGCTTCAGAGAGGTTTACATGAATTTTCTATGTTTGTTTCATTGTATGTTTTCAGATGACTTGAAATATTTACTGTGTAGGCACTGTGTTCTTACGTGTACTGGTGTAGGCATAGATTATAGTTTTGCGTGGTCGGCCTCCATGATTATAAGCAGGGGTTTAGTCTGCATGTGTAGACTCCAGGTCTTCAACTCTTATCTCAAGTCGTGTTCTCTCTCCAGTGTTTCCAGGAGTGGTAAAATTTCCTCTTTGTTTTTGCCCATTGACTGAAATTTGAATGAAATGTATAGCCTATTGCTTGTGTTATATTTAACACAAATCACATGCCGTCAATAACAGCTAGAATAAACCTTTTCGACACTCGCAGCACATTACAGGTTTGGATGACAAACAAGCAATCCATTTTATACTCCACCCGATGAGAGAAGTGTACCTGCAAAACGTTAATGTGCCTCCATTTTATTACGTATTCCAATTCAAGCCATCCTCTTCTCACTATAAGAGTGTTGTTTTATAGATTTAGGATGAACAAACCTCAACATTTAAAGCATAGCAGGAAAGAAAAACTTGGGGAATCCCTTCCAACAACACAAGTTTCTGTCATGGACTATTCTTTGACTAAGCTCGTGAATGTTAATGCTCTAGTATTGTCCAATCAAAATCACATCTTGCAGTAGCTCATTCGTCCCGCACTGACTAATCTTGTTATTTTCAGCAGGAATGACTGATGCCCTTAAAAAAACAGAAGTTACGGGTGACTTTTCTTCTTACAAACATTTGAAAAATTATTTTATTATTTTGAAAACTTTCCTTGTATACTACGCATGCATCTGTGAGGTGATGAGTAGAAATATTCCCAAAAAACCTGTAAAATTGATTTCTGACTGGGTCACTCCCCCCCCCAAAGGTGTATGCATAAAATGCGTGGTTTTTTGTCAATCAAACCCATAATGCATTGGAAACATTGCATAAGTTTATTAGAATTCAGTGCCATCGTGGCCATAATTTGGGGGATTGTATAGTTGGGGACCCACCAGTTTTGTTGTCATTTAGTTAATTCTTGAAAAACTGTGCAGACCCCCTCCCATAACCAAAGGCAACACTCTCTTTATTGCACTGACGGTATTTTTTGGAAATTCCAAATTGAAAATTGCGAGAAAATGTGGCTTTCTGACTGATGAACCAGCCATGCAAATTTTAATCCATGTGCATGATGTGCCACATGTTGAAAGACTCATTTTTCCTCATAATTTCCCTCAAAACTCAAAACCCTCCCCCTTTTCACAACATCAGCCCAACAACCAGTAGG